GTTTGACAAGTCAACAAAGGCAAGTTTCAGTAGGATTGGCTTGATAGTAAAAGAGGAGTGGGTAGCAGAGGGAGGGGGAACCAAGCAACAAAGACAAATTCCTTTATTCCATAATTTTATCAGGTGTCTCCATTCCCATCAGCCTGCATTGTCAAGCTTTAGGGGAGGTAACAAGGAAAGTTTTAAAGAGATAATGATCTCTCAGCCCCAGGCACTAACCCATGTTATCTGAACACAGTTTCTTTTGGTACTGGGGATTGAACCCAGAGGTGATCAACCACTGAGCTACTTTCTCGACACCTCTCACCCCTTTAAAAAATTTTATATTTTGAGGCAGGGTCTCAAAATTAAGTTGCCGAGGCTGCCCTTTTGCGATCCTCTGGTTTCAGTCTCCGGAGATGCTGGGTTTACGTGTGCGGCACAGCGTCTAGCATCTGGTCACAAGTTTTGACAAGTGTCCTTGTTGAACTGGACCCAGTGAAGAAATCTTCCTGGACCTTTATCTCGCTTTGGCTGGAGTCCCTGGAGGGTGGTCATCTCTTTTTCCTTCAGTCTGGCTTTCCATCCCGCGCTGGTGGGGTGTGAGGGTGGAGAGAAAAGCTAAGCTAAGGGAAAGTGCAGGCTTGTTCCATTGAAATTAACAAGGGAGCTGCTAGGATCTAGCCTGCAGGTCCTTGCCCTTGTGGGGCTGGAGTGCCAGCGGGGAAGGCGGGTGTGGTTTCCTCCAGGAGGTGACAACCTGTAGGGCCTGTAAGGAGCAGTCCTCCGTGGCCGCTCTATCATCCGGTGCTCCGGGAGTAGCCTGAGCGCAAGTCTTGGAGGAGTCTGATGCGCTGCGCTGCGCTGCGCGAGGTGGGTCCCGCCGCGTTCCTTCCCCTCCGCCCCCTCCCAACCATTTCAGGAGTGACTGTGCTTCTGACGTCAGGAATCCTTTGGTTCATTCCCTGGCACGGTGACTTTATTTTCATAACAGCACCAAGTGCCGTGGAACTGGAATAGGCGTGTCCTCTCCCCCTGACCCTCCCCGCCCCTGCCCTCTGCTCACCCCCTTGCTCACCGCTCCCTCCCTCCCGCGACGGCAGCCTTTATAACTGCTCAGCTAGCCGAGGGCGGGATCACTGCCCAAGGACTGACTCGTCCAGCACCGAGGGGCCCGCGTGCTTCTCTCTTACGCGCGAGGAGGGCGCCAAGTTCACCGCCAAAACCTAGACACTAGGGTAAGTGAGGCGCGTGGAGCTCAGAGAGCCCGGGACCTCCAGATTTAAATCATTACCGGAGAGTAGGCGTTGGGAGGGGTGGCCTAGAGGAGGCCAGGAATCCTGGTGATGGACTACAGCTGACTATGAGGAAATAACTAATCCGAAAGAAAGGGGGATTCCTCTAGTTTAACTCAACTCAGAATTTGTTTTCTGGGTTTCCCATGCTAAGATAGAGGCGGAGAGCAAAAAGATCACCAGGGTAATAGTTTCTGCTTAGACACATTCTACAAACTCCGAATAGGCTGAACTCTTGTCAGAAAAGAGGTGAGCAACCCTGGGATCAATTTGGGGCAAGAGAAGAAAGAGAGAAAAATGTTAAAGTTAGGGAAGGGACTAGGGTGGAGAGGGTCTAGGAAAATTGGGGGAGGGTGTAGGAAGGAGGAGATGATGACAGTTACTACTTGATTGAGATACTGAAAAGTTTCCATTAATTTTATTCTTCCACTACAAGTACTCTTCTATTTTGGGGAAATACATCTAGAAGCCACCCCTTTTCTCTATATTGGATTCCACAGCATACTCTCCTTTCGGGAGGAAGCAGCTGTCACCATCTCCCTCTTCCTGCCATGCCTACCCCCCAACCCGCCCCACCTCCTTCCTAGTCCCTCTCCATCCCTAGTCCCTGGAGTGGCTCCGGAATACCCAGCAGATGGAAAACGAAAAGGCAGTAACCACCCACCTTTCAACAACTAAGTATCCCCTGGGAATGGCTTAAATGTGGTTCAAGATATCTCTTAAAATATCCATGGGAAGAAGGGTAGCAACTGGCCAAAGTCTGCTCAGGATCAAGGAGGTTGAAGGACTTTCTTTCCATTCCTTCCTTTCCAGGCTGATTTCTCTGAAGAGGCTTTTGTAAATGATGCACCTGTTGAAGGGTTCATCGCAATCAGCCACTGCAGTGGGCTTATTCCTGAGGAGGAATTCTTTTAGCCACTTTAGACGGGATGGCCTGGGGACCATGGGAGGGATGAGGGTGAGGTCATCTTTGGATGCTGGCTACTATTAGGAAATGTAAGAATGAAGGGGAGAGAGGGTGGAAACAGGTGCTGAGAATTTGCTCCCTCAAAAGTATGGAGAGGGCAGGGCTCCAAAGGCCCGATGGAATGAGCAGAACTGTGTGGTTTCCCAAGAGCTCTCAATGTGGCGTCAGGGAACTTGATTTCTTCTTTCTGCTCAGCAGGATCATGTAACTGTCATCAGACAACCTCCTGGGGGTTGGAGGGGGAGGTCTCAGGGAGGCCCCAAGTGCCTTTCCTGCATTAAGATTCTAGCCCCTCTGTCTTCACATGTCTTGTTTGGAATCTACTTTTTAATATTCTGTTCCTTAGTGGTAACTGAAGATAAGATTTTGAAGAAGAATTTTGACTGCAATTCTTATTCTTCTCATTCTGGATCTACTGCTATGTAAAAATTCACAAGATTGAGCTGAGGAAATGATGTGAAGGTATAATACACAGTAAACAGGACAGCAGTTTTTCTTGAGGGAGTCTTTGACTTTCAGAGTATTTCAGTGCATTTGTTTCTACTTTTAGTCCTATTTCTATGGCATTGTGGCCAGAATATGTAATCTATACTTTTCTTATTTTAGAATTTCAGATTTTTCTTTTTAAAAAAAAATATTTATTTTTTAGTTGTAGTTGGACACAATACCTTTATTTTATTTATTTTTATGTGGTGCTGAGGATCGAACCCAGCACCTTGCGCTCTACCACTGAGCCACAACCCCAGCCCTCAGATTTTTCTTTGTGTTCTAAAATATGCTTTTTTTGTGTGTGTTTCGGGGAGTGTAATCATCCCCCCAAATGACCACTTAAGTAGAAGTGATCGTATAGAGCAGGGGTGGCAAAATATAGTCCATGGACCAAATATAGCCCACAACTTCTTTTTGTGAATAAAATTTTATAGGAAAACCTCAATGCTCATACATTTATTACTGTTTTCATGCTACAAATATATGGCTTACAAAGCCTGAACTACTTACTGGCCCTTTACAGAAAATGCTTGCTTATTACTGATACAGAGGATCTGAATTATATGATTAATAATGGAAATCTAACACACTTAGAATTGTAGCTACTTGGGAGGCTGAAGCAGGAAGATCGCAAGTTTGAGGCTAGTTGGAGCAACTTAGTGAGACCCTGAAACATAATAAAAAATAAAAAGGAGGGGTTATTGCACAGTGGTAGAAGCGCCCCCAGTTTCAGTCCCCAGTATGGAAAAAAAAAGAAAAGATCAATTTTGTGTATTTAATCCACCAAAGACTGACAAAGAAATATTCTATAATTAAGTATTTCTTCTGGTTTCTCCTTCTATATCAGTAATCCTTGTTTTAAGTATTTTGGTGCTGTATTTGGTACATGAAAGTTTATGACAGTTTTATCTTCAATGTGGAGCATCACTAATTATTTTGAAGCAAGCTTTGGGGTACATATAATGCCTTTTTCCCTTACCTCAACTTTGTGTGATATTAAAATCTCAACTCTTGCTTAATTCTTTTACTGTAAGCCAGCTATTTAACTATGTTTGACTCATAATACCTCTTAAATAAGCATTATCTATTAGTAATTCTTTTTCATTTCTTTTTTTTTTTTTTAACTTTCAACCTTTCTCAATTCCTTTGCTTTGGGTGATGTTCTTGTAGAAATAATAGTTTAATTTAGTCTTTTCAAAATAAGTCACCATTTCATTACTGTAATAATACTTGCTTTCTGTGGTCATCTAATTTTAGGCCATGTAGTCTGTTTTTCCCCATTGTCTCCCCCATTAGACAGTATATATTGTGTTTTTAGATCTACCAGGCAACAAGTAGATGGTAGTGCCATTCAGAAGGTTTAGAAGTCAGGCTGGTAGGAAGATATGAAAAGCTTAACTTTGGACTCTTGAATCCAACATAAATATTTTGTCCTTATATATTGAAGTAAACTATTTGAAGGAAGAAATCTTTAATAAGAATTTTGAGATATAAAATCAGTAGAGAACTTTATTTTATTCTCTATCTGTTTTCTGGAAATTTGATTTCTCAGAATTCTGGGCCAAAGAGATTTGGAAGCTTCACTCAGTATCTTAACTGAAAAAAAAAAAGATTTCCGATATTTATTTTACATTCATATTAATCTAAAATTTACATGTGCTGTTTAGAGTAGGAGGAAAAGTGCAGAAATGAGTACGAACATTATTGTTACACTTGTTTTGAACTATAGTGCTGTGATGATTTTTTTCTCCCAGTAACTACCTAGAAACTCAAGTCATGATGTTAGTAAGATGCTATTCATGAGATTTTGCTATGATGCCTCACTTTTATGTCATCACAATTGGGCTGGCTACCCGTAACAGGGGAGCCTAGAGATTTTCCTATGAATACTTTCCTTTTCCTGTAATCCTGCTAAGGGCAGAGAGATTTCTTGAGGGACTCCTCCCTTAGCATAACTCAACCTGGATAAAAATATGAGGATTTGCATCAGCACATATTCATCTTCAAAAATTTTTACTCCCTATTACTCACACTTGCTAATAAATAACTTGCTTTGGGTAAATATTCAGCTGTCAGTCTTAGTCCAAAATATTTTCTCAGCAACTGCCATGTAGAGTACATGGTGAGATTGATACCAACAAACAGAAGATCTGCTTGATTTCCTTATGAAGCTTGTTATCTGACAGGCTGGTCAGCACTGGTGATAATGTTAATATATACCATATATATGGAAAAACATCAGGGCCTAAAAACACTTAGTTATAAAAACTATGACAAGACCTACAAATTTAGAATGAGATAGGATTAATATTGACAATTTTAAAACCTCATTATAGAGGTTAGATTTTGGGTCAAATTTTGAAGAAATTTGGCAAATGGACTGTGAACAAGAGGGAAAGGGTCTTTCTTGTTAAGAGAATAATTCATGGTCAGAGGCAAGAACATGACCTTGTAGGAGAAGGCTGTAGATGATCCCAGGGAGAAAACAATCTTAGAAGATTTGCATTGTTTTAAGAGCCACAGTTTTTTTTTTTTTTTAACCAGGATTTAACCCAGGGGTGCTTAACCACTGAGCCACATCCCCAGCCCTTTTTAAATATTTTATTTAGAAACAGTGTCTCGCTGAGTTGCTTAGGGCCTTGCTACGTTGCTGAGGCTGGGTTTGAACTCTCAATGAGCCTGCATCAGCCTCCTGAGCCACTGGGATTACAGATGTGTGCCACCGCACCCAGCAAGAGCCACATAATCTTGTGCAAATTATTTAATTTCTTTGTGCATCAGTTTCCTCAACTGTAAAATGGGGGCCAAATAGTAATTCAGTGAGGACTGAATGAAGCAATGAATGACTTTGAGTAAATTTATTTATTAATTTAAGATTTATTATTTATTAACCTAAGATCCAGCAAAGCTAAATTTAGCAGCTGCCTAAGCCAGAAGTCTAGGAGTTATCCTGGATTCCTCCATTCCTGAAGCCCTTTCTCTTCTACCTTCATGAACACATCTGCCATTCTCTGTTCATCTCTCATGTCTTTTCTTCCAGTCTCTTTTCTCAAACTGCCTGCCACTCCCACCTTGTCCCCAATTAGGTAGAAGGGGTCCCTATTTTTCATGTGTGTTCAGCATTCTCTGTATCCCATAACTCCTGAGTTGTGCACAAGTGCAACTGACTCTATTAGCTCTCCAGGGGCAGTGGCCATACTGTGTGATTTGTACACTTAGTGTGGTATCTGACACAAATTACACACTTAAATATTTGTTGATTGAGCAGGGTATAGTGGTATATGCATGTGATTCCAGCTACTGGGGAGGCTGAGGCAGGAGGATCACAAGTTTGAGGCTAGCTGGGCAACTTAGACACTGCCTTAAAATAAAATTTAAAAAGGGCTGGGTATGTAGCTGAGCCAGAGGAAAATAAAACTGTCCAGGGTCATTAACAAGCAAGTCTGTATTGCAAGAGGTTTGTGTACCCAGAGGATGGTGCAGATAAGGGAGAGACACCAGGAAGGTACCAGAGGAGGAGCACAGGGTACTGATCACTTCGTGCTGCCTTAAGCCCTTTTGGAATGAGTCAGGGAGTGGAAGAAAGGTTAAAAAAAAAAAATGGAAAAGGAGGAAAAAGAATAGGAGGAGGAAAAGGAGGAGGAGGAGGAGGGAAGGAAAGGAGTCACCTATTAGGTAGAGTACCCCTGGGGTCCATCTCCAGTATCACAAAGAAAAGAAAAAGTTAATTGAGAGAAAGACTAAGTATAGAATCACTAGGTTTGGAAACTTCTCAGTAAGCCAGTGCTGAGAGAGAGGATGAGGGAGGAGAGAGGCTGAAGGAAAGAAGAAAAACTTTATAGACCATGACAGTGATTTAAAGTGAAGGACGGAGTTATGATCATGACTACTCTAAAGAATGTTCTTCTCATGTGACGGTACACACATGACTGTATCTGTCAGAGTTAAATATAAATAGATTGTAGTAATATTAAATGAGATCGTATGTGTAAAAACATGTAAATGAGAGAATACACGTTAAAACCTTCATACTCGGCATAGTGACAGGCTCATGTGGCAGTTGTTGTCATTATTTTTATTCATAATTATATTGCCACTATCGTTATGATTTTTTTTAAATACTGGAGATTGAATGCAGGGGCACTCTGACACTGAGCTATATCCCCATCCCTTTTTATTTTGAGACAGGGTCCACTAAGTTGCCCAGCTGGCCTCAAACTTTCAATCCTCCTGCCTTAGCCCCAGAGTTTCGGGGAATAAAGGCGTGTGCTCCTTTCCTTATTTTACAGAGCAGTGGCAGAGGCTCTGAGAGGTTATGTGACTTGGTCCACACACACTGGAGACCCATTTTTCCTAAGAGGAAGGAATGACAGAAGGCTTTGGGATTGAGCCTAATATGTGACTCCCTTCCTTCTTTCTTCCTCCTCTTCTTCTTTTCCTTTTGTTCCTTCTTTTTTCCCTGATTGTTTTCTAACCTTTCTTTCATGCCCTGACTCATTCTGAAAGGGCTTAGGCAGCACGAAGTGATCAGTACCCTGTGCTCCTCTTCTGGTACCATCCTGGTGTCTCTTCCTCATCTGCACCATCCTCTGGGTACACAAACCTCTTGCAATACAGACTTGCTTGTTAATGATCCTGGACAGTTTTATTTTCCTCTGACTAAATGCAAAGTATTTATAATGCTTTCAACCTATTGAGCAATCCCTATAAGGCTGGGGAAGGGGTGGATGAGGATTAATGGAGGTAAATTACAATGGTAATGGCAAAAAAATCAGTCACTCGGGTTAATAATATTTACTGAGACATTTTTAAGAAGACATTTGTGTGTCTGGAGGTGTGGTGGTTAATGGTAGAGCTTTGTGCCTAGCATGCATGAGGACCTGGTTTCCATCCCCAATACCAAGAAAAAAAATTTAACTGGATATTTGATATTTAAAGAATTGCTGATTTTTAAAAGTGTGGCTCAGGAGTTTTATTCTTTAGAAAGACATAGTAGAGTATTTATGAATAAAATTATATGATATATGGGATTTGCTTAAAAATAATTTAGTGAGGGCTGGGGATGTGGCTCAAGTGGTAGCGTGCCCACCTGGCATGCGTGCGGCCTGGGTTCGATCCTTAGCACCACATACAAAGAGGTTGTGTCCGCCGAAAACTAAAAAATAAATATTAAAATTCTCTCTCTCTCTCTCGCTCTCTTTCTCTCTCTCAGTCTCTCTTAAAAAAAATAATTTAGTGAGTGGGATGGGGCATTAGCTGAAGCAAAATTGGTCATATACTGATAATTGTTGAAACCAAGTTTTGGACACAGGGCCTCTATTATACAAAGTTCAATAATAAAAACCTTAAAAAGGGTTTTTGTTTTCTTTTTTGTACTGGTTTGGTCCTGGGGATTGAACCCAGGGGTGTTTACCACTGGGTTGTATCTTCCATCCTTTTTGTTTTGTTTTGTTGTATCTTCCATCCCTTTTGAGACAGGGTCTCACTAAATTGCTGAGGCTGGCCTGGAACTTGGAATCCTCCTGCCTCCATCTCTCCTTTGGCTGGGATTACAGGCGTGTGCCAAAGTGATTTATTTATTTATTTTTCTTTCTTAATGTTTTCCAGGCATTTTAGGACTGTTTCTATCCTCCTTACTTGGTTGGGAAGGTGGAGATGAATTAGGGGAAATCAGTTTTCTCTTCTCTCCACACCCACTGCCCATTGCTTGTTAGGCTCTGGTCTGGAACCTGGAAGCTCCAAGACACACCTCCCTCCTCACAGCTGAATGAGGGGCCTGTAGGTCCAAGCTGGGGCTGGGATCTCTGTCTTACTGCTTCTTTTTCGGCACTGTTTTGTCTTCATCAGTCTCGGTCAAGGTTTAGAGTCCTGAGGTTCAAAGTCCTTAGTAATTGTCAGGTAATTATGATAACAACTAGTTGACCACAGACAGCAAATACCTTGAGGGGCGGGGAAGTGGCGATTGGCAGGGGAAGTCAGGAGGGTGAAGGAACAAAGAAAAGAGGGAAATACCTTTCCTGCTAGATTATCACCCCTAAGATTACTCTCAGAGGGTGTGGAGAGATGGAATGAGATGCCAGGGCCTGTGTTGCTTTCCTTGTCCTTGCTGGCCTCAAAGGAGTCTTCCTTTCATGCATTCATAGTAGACAAGGGAGATGCTCTCACTGTGCTTTTCCGTGGAAGGCCTCTGCAAGTCCTCTCTTCCTGGCCCTGTGCCCCTTTCCCATGAGTTCCCATTTCTCTCCTGGTCCATTTAGAGCTTCTCACCAACGAGTGAGCAATCCCCACACTAGAAAAAGAAAAGCTAAGAGAAAGACTTCATGCACAAATAGCATACAACAAAATAATTCAGATAAAATTTATAGTTTATGTAGAAACTGTTGGGGTTGTAGCTATGTCTAGCAATGTTGAATTAGCTGACATTGACTGAAATTTGAGAGCCACCAACTTTGAGGAAATGTGGAAAGTCCCTTCTCTTTCCAGTTCCCTAATTTAGCTTCCTAGTGTTCCCTGAATCCCTGGGATTTAGATGTCATGGGGGTCACCTGGGTGTCAAATTCACAAGGAGGTTGTGGGGCAGAGAAAAAAGGCTTTTTCCTGAGATATTAAGGGCAGATATATGGGAAGTAAGCTGAGGCATACCCAGTCAATTCCTGATTATCCCAAGTGAGTGAGCAGATTACCTGCTTGTGAATCATCTATCACTTGGGGCCTCTCAGCCTTCCTGGTCTAAGAGTGAAATCAGGGCCATAATGGGGCATCCAATGAAAGAAAGATGGGGTGGGTAGGGGAGAGAAGCTCAGATTGCATTTTTTTAAAATAATTTTTTAAAGCATTTATTTTTTAGTTGTAGGTGGACACAATACCTTTATTTTATTTTTATGTGGTGCCCCACCCATGCTAGGTGAGCGCTCTACCTCTGAGCCGCAACCCCAGCCCTCAGATTGTATTTTAATATCCTGTAGAACTCATCAGAGAGAGAGAGAGCACCTATAGTCGATAAGAGCATGGATCCTAGAGCCAGGGAACTTGGATTCAAATCTATCTCTGGGGTCAAGGATATAGCTCCGTGGTAGAGTATTTGTTTAGTATGCAAAAGGTCCCGGTTTGATCTCCAGCATTGGAAAAAAAAATTATCTAATATATATATATATATTTGATGTTTAGCAAGTATCAGTTTCCTAATGTGTGTGTGTGTGTGTGTGTGTGTGTGCATGTGTGTAACTGGGGATTGAACCCAGAGATATTTTACTGCTGAGTTACATTCCCAGCCCTTTATATTTTCCTTTGAAACAGGTTCTAAGTTGCTGAGGCTGGTCCTGAATTTGATTGTCCTGCCTCAGCCTCCCAAGTTGCTGGGAGTTACAGGTGTGAACCACCATGCCTGGCCCTCAGTTTCTTCATCTATAAAAGAGGGATAATAATTTGCATCTCATAGGGTTGACATGAAATTAAACTAATATTTATGTAAGGTGATCAGAAGTCAAATTCTGACTCATAGTAGAAATGAGTCTTAGGTATTAGTAATAGTTTTGTTGTTGTTGAGTTAGCCCCTGTTTTTGTTTCATCCAGGACTTCCATCCTTATAGGTAGCTAGTTTAGAGCTGGTTATGGTAAGGAAGTTTCCTTCCACATTCTTTGGGAATTAGTCAAACCATCCATGTAAGTGTTAAAGCTAGGGGGAAACTCTTTCAATATGAGACAGCAGAGCCAAGGAAGAGGGATCAGGGACTCAGAAGTGAATGTTAGGTCTCTGCAGAGAAATCTCCAGTTCTGGTAACTCCTCTGTTCCATGAGAGAATGGGTTGCTTACAAGTGATATCTGAAATAGGGCCAAAGATGGAAAAAGACTTGAGACTGTGTTCACTTTATGCTTAGATATTTCTGTGTTCATGAATTCCTAAGAAAACACTAGCCCAAAATATTAAGAACTCTGGCAGGTCATATGTGATATGGTTTTTGACCATATCACACACACAAAAGAAATACCTCTTTGGCACCTTGGATCCTCAACCCTATGAGATGCAAATTATTATCCCTATTTTAAAGATGAGGAAACTAGGCTCTGAAATACCTCTTTGGGGAAAAAAAGAAAGAAAGAAAAAAACTGAAATATTAAGAACTCTGGCAGGTCATATGTGATATGGTTTTTGACCATATCACACACAAAAAAGAAATACCTCTTTGGCACATTGGATCCTCTGGCTTCAAAGTAAAGGAAAAGTTGGTAGCTTTATCTAATGTAGCAAGTTCAAGGGCAAAATTGGCTGAACATGTATTTTTTCCTAATCCTTTTTCAGTCTTGTGTCTGGGTTTGTTCAAACTCACCCCCAACCCTAACTTTGTTTTTATGTAGGACCAGAATGACCACAACCCCCCCCCAGTGGCTGCCGCTCACACCTGGACTCCAGGTACCAGAGACTTTGTGATGTGTCTGAAGCATGGGGCATCGTCCTAGAAACAATAGCCGCAGCAGGGGCTGTGACCTCAGTGGCCTTCATGTTCGCTCTCCTGATCCTCATCTGTAGGGTGCAGGACTCCAACAGACGGAAAATGCTCCCGACCCAATTTCTCTTCCTCCTGGGAGTGTTGGGGGTCTTTGGCCTCACCTTCGCCTTCATCATCAAGCTGGATGGGGGCACAGGGCCCACACGCTTCTTCCTCTTTGGTGTGCTCTTTTCTATTTGCTTCTCTTGCCTCCTGGCTCATGCTTTTAACTTGATGAAGCTAGTCCGTGGGAGGCAGCCCCTGTCCTGGATGGTGATTCTGGGTCTAGCCGTGGGCTTCAGCCTGGTACAGGACGTCATTGCCATTGAATATGTCGTCCTCACCATGAACAGGACCAATGTCGACATCTTTTCTGAGCTTTCTGTTGCTCGTCGAAATGAAGACTTTATCATGTTGCTTATCTACGTCCTTTTCTTGATGGCGCTGACCTTCCTCACATCCTTCTTCACCTTCTGTGGATCCTTCAGTGGCTGGAAGAGACATGGGGCCCACATCTGCCTCACCATGTTCTTCTCCATTGTCATCTGGGTGGCATGGATTACTTTGCTCTTGATTCCTACCCCTGGTCCCGAATGGGATGACACCATCTTGAGCACAGCCTTGGTTGCCAATGGCTGGGTTTTCCTCTTGGCTTATGTGGCCCCTGAGTTTTACCTGCTTACAAAGCAACGGAACCCCATGGATTACCCAGTGGAAGATGCTTTTTGTCAACCTCAGCTCATGAAGCAGAGCTATGGTATGGAGAACAGAGCCTATTCTCAAGAGGAAATCACTCAAGGTGCGATTGAGAATCCTTGGGTGGGAGGGTGGGGGAGGGTCAGAGGATATTGTAACTATAAGGAATATGCAGGATTTTTCCAGGTTATGTCCTAATAGAATGAATAAATTCCCCAAAGCTCAGATTTTGCTTAAAATCATCCAACCACTTAGAGACAAGTAGAACCAGTAGCTAGTTTCTGAAGTCTTTATCTAGTACTTTCTATGCAATACTAGGTAGGTGTCTCTGAATCAAAATAAGATGGGGCAAAGAAAAGGAAAAGGAATGACTGGGAGAGTTTCTAGTGGTATGTGGGTGAGACTGTGCTTTTTATAAAAGATAAGTGGAAATTCCTTCCAGCCTTTGTGGATTAGAGTGCAGGATGCCAAGCCATGATTTCCTGCATTGACATGGGGTGCAGGAGGGAGCAAGTCCTTTTATTATAAACTGGCAGGAATCTCCGTAAAGTTACCAAGGGTTTTTTGATTTTAGCACAAACATTTGATTGTATATCTCTGGGCCCCTGGGAGGGAAAAGATGACATATGACATAAAAAAAAAATGAGCCAATTGTGCTCCTTGGGAGGTGTGAGTAGCCAGGGGCTCTTCAGATATTCTCATAAGAGAGAGAGACCACACCGATAGCCAGAAGCTGCTTTGCCAGTGAGGATCGATCTATTCATTGGTCTCTAGGTTCACATTGACCTTGGAGTCTATCACAGGGTAGAAATGGTTTTTGAACAGGAATGAGGGAACTTCAAGCCTGTGTTCTCAGCACCACTTAAAAGAGGTTTTTTTTTTGCTGGGAGTGGTGGCACAGGCCTATAATCCCAGTGGCTTGGGAGGCTGAAGCAGGAGGGTCACAAGTTCAAATCCAGCCTCAGCAACTTAGTGAGGCCCTGTCTCAAAATAAAAAGGGCTGGGATTATGGCTCAGTGGTTAAGTGCCTCTGGGTTCAATCCCTAGTACAAAAAAAAAAAAAAAAAAATGCCTTTTCTTTGGAAGCCTGAGGTGCTGAGCTTCCTGGGGCTCTTCACTGCAGCCTGGTCGCTCTTCTGGGCATGTGGGACGGCAGGAGCAGAATTTCTACCATTCCAACCCCTCCTTTGCATTCCCAGGGCTTCACTCTGTCACCTACTCCTGGATTCCCTGTCATGGTTCTCTTTTGGCTTCTCCTTTATGCTTTTCGTGCGTGGGACGCTGTCAGCTTACTCTCCTCAAGTGCTTCTCCAGCCACCACACTTGGCTTCTCACACTCCTCACTGCACCCCCGCACCATCCATCCTGTTATGTCAGATCTGTGAGGCCTCAAGCCCCTCTGAAGCCTTCCCCTCAGCCCACACAGACCAAGTCCCTGCATCTTCCTGCCACAGTGGCTGGGCTGCAGGTGCACCTGTCCTCTGCCTGATGAGGCCTTCTCCTGCTCTTCTGACCCTTTCGCAAGTCAAGCATTCTCCAGTCTCTCTCAGTCATTGCTCCGCCCTTGCATCTGTAGAACTTTGAAATGCTCTTATCAGAGTCTGTCTCATTCAGTAGTTATTTGTGTGTTCATCATGAGTTCCTTACTCTCCAGGGTCAGCTGCAGGGCAGGAATCATTCTGGTTAATGCTTGTACTCTACATTGTATCAAATTGGGCAGGTAAATTTGGTGAGAAATAATTGAATTGCTTTAAGTGGCATTAATAGTGATTATGTATGTTTCCCAAGTTTAAAACTCTCTGATTTTCCCAAAAACACACAGAAAACAAGTGCTCACAAATCCTTCCCTTTCTTGCCTTGTCAGGCAGTTAAGGAAGTGAGTAAATCCCTAGTGAGATTCACTCTAGGGACACCTCTGGTCAGATCTATATCTGAAAAGACTTTTTAATGACTTTTCAAGGGTGCTTTTGCAGTGGAGGAGAACATTTTGGAAAGGGGATTCTTTAGGGACCATGTCATTCTTTCATCTAATCAGTGTGCTCACTGGGTGCCTGGTGCTGGGCTTGAGAATATGGTCTTTCTCTGCAAGAAACCTGAAGTTTACTGGAGAAACAAAGAGACAAGCTGTCATACATACTGTGGTAAATGGTGCAGTGGGACAGGTGGCCCTAATGCTTCAATTTCTCCTCTCCCTGTGTTTCAGGTTTTCAAGAGGGAGGGGATACCTGCTATGCCCCTTATTCCACCCACTTGCAGCTTCAGGTAAATAATCCTTCTTCTTTATTGGTAGTGTTTGCACTCAGGGACATTTGCCCTTTGGGAATGATGTTGTCTGATGGCTCCTGGGAAGCCATCTTGAAAGGATGACGTGTCTTTTTTTTCCTACAATCTGCCTCATGGGGGGTTGGGTGGAATGCTGGGCACATTCAGTACCTAGGAGGAGACTTGGTAGAAAGGAAAGATTAAATCCCTGCCCAGCTTGGAAGATCTTTGAAATTTAACAATATGATCACTTCTTTTTCAGAATCGGACTCCCCAAAAGGATTTCTCCATCCCCCGGGCCCAGGCTCGAACCAGCCCTTACAATGACTACGAAGGAAGGAAAGAGGGCAGTTAGCTCTGTTCCGAAGAATGGAGTGACTGCAACCAGGCAGCAGACCCAGCCAGCAGTCCAAAGAGATGTGGGCTAAATCCTATCTTCCAAGAGAACTGCATGAAACATTGTGGGGACAGCTGCCTGCCCTCAGCCTCAGCCACTGTGCTTGTGGGGCTTCTGAGACTCCAGTTCTTCTTAGCATTGTGGTCTTTTCCTTTGTCCCATGCTTAGGGTACTTTATTGAAGTGGGAGTCCTGGGCGGCTCAGGGTGACTCTTACTATTTTCTTATGTGTGACTAAAAGTCTGGGCATCTGACCGCATGCTGGCTCATTCAACTCCTGAGGCGATTCATTAGGTAGGTTTGGTGGAAATCACTTGGCCAGAGCAGAACTGAAAATCTGAGCAAATCCAGCAAGGGTCTGTGTCTCAGCCTCATCTTGTCAAAATCTACACTGGAAGCCAACCTCCCCGTAGTCCCTTCCTTGCCTTCTTGCCTGACAGGAGAGGTCAAGGTCACCCAAATCTATGCTTCTAGATGACGTTCCTTGTCATAGGGCCTCTACAGCTCCCCAGCACCAATTCACAGGGCATCCTTCGCTTCCTACACCATCCCCAAACTTGCTCTTGACCCCCAGACGTAATCTTCCATGTGTACTTTGCCAGGAGTTCTCTGAACCTCACTAGCATGCACAAGCCCAGTTTCTCCTGGCCAGGAAAATTTATGCACTGTTCTTCTTATAAATTCTTGTCTAATCTGTTTGCTTCCCAGCCTCTGTTAGTAGATTTACACTGTATTTGCCTCCTGAGTTCTGTAAGTGGGCATTGCCTACTCTTGGGGGTATTCTGTGGTAAGTTATTCACTTGTATATGCAATAAAGATGTGGCGGTGACTTTTTAAATATTTTTTGGGTTCCGTGGTCCCAGGGATGGAACCCAGGGCCTCATATATGCTAGATAAGCACTCTATCATTGAGCACATCCCCAGCTCTGGTGTTGACTCTTCCTCCATAGCAGTGGTATAGGTGGTGGATATTTGACACTGAGGGAGAGATAGTGGGCTCCCCTGTTAGGTTTCCTGTTGGAGCTGAGTTCAGGGTTTGTACTTGACCCTTTTCCCCTGTGACTTTCCTCCTCATTACATCTGAGTTGAGTGTGTTTTTCCCAAGTTTTAAGGCTGTCAGATGTGAGAAAGCCAGGAAGCATCACAGGTCCTGAAGTTTTGCTCCAGGAAGGCAGAGGTAGGGCTGCTTTAGAATGGAAAGACAGACAGACCTGAAAGCCAGTGTCACATTTCAGCTGAGGTTTATTGTAGGAGAGGAAAGACCTTGATCCAGTGTTTGACTGCATTGGTTCACAATATCTCTTGGCAAAGACATGGTATCTAAAAATTATTATTGATTCAAGAAGCAGCTCTGTGGGGCAGTGGAATAGGAAATCTCCCTTTGGTGAAGGAAATAGAAAGTCCCCATATATAGAAACTGAATGATATTTAAAAAGTCTGTATGTAAGTTAGGAAGTTACCTGTAAAGGCCTGCCATTCTGCTTTGCATCCAAAGAAGAGAAAACCAGTGTGGGCCAGAGGTGAGAAGAGGGAGGAGGTGAATGACATGCTGATTTAGGGGTATTTTATACCCTACAAGATTGAGTAGTAGACTTTGTGCTAATATTTAAGCCTCATTTGGTATTGAAAAGGAAAATGACCATTAATGATATGAATCCTTCTAGACTATTCTAGTTCTGCCCAAGAGGACATGACTCAGTGAGGTTTGTTGTGAGTTTCACAGCTGCTTTTCTGTCCTAGCGTAGGGCTGAAGAAGTGCATATTCCCTGCTGTTAGGAAAGATGAAGTTCTCCTGCTCTCACACCACAACCATCACCCCTGAAGACTTTTGTGACCCCGAAAGGTGTGGGCACTTCTCACCAACAAGCAAATGGTGCAGCTGCTGCAGTGGACCCTGCTGGGTGTCAACAATTCCATTCTGACTATCCTGGGGTAGCATCAGATCCCACAGGCCGAGGGCTCCGTTCCCAAGGTGATATTTTCCCTCACCTCAGGTGCAGGTTGCAAGCAAGACCCAGCTTGTGGCCCATCTGATTTATATTGGGGTCCCACAACCCCCTCCTCAGGTTTAATTTACTCAAGTGGCTCCCAGAACGTAGGGGAACATGTCTACTGGTTTACTATAAAAGATACTACAAAGGATACAGTTAAAGAGATGCATAGGACAAGGTATGGGGGAAGGAACCTGCGGCTTCCCTGCCCTCTCTAGATGTGCCACACTCCAGAAACTTCCACGTGTTTAGCTGTCTGGAAGCTTCCTGCACCCTGACCTTTTGGGTTTCTATGGAGGCTTCCCTGCACAGGCAGGATTGCTAGTAGACTGGGGTTGGAGGGACCTGGTAAGTCCGTCTATTCACGTTCTTCTTGACCTCTCTGTACAGCACTCTTTCTTCCAGGGCAGGGGACAGGATCCCTTGGGAATAAGGATGGTTTTATGGCCTAAAAATAGACAAGTCAGAAAATTTCTTAGGACCAGCTAAAGACAGGGGAAGATTAGGTTTCTATGACCCACTTTGGTGAGGAACTGATAAGCCTGGAATCATGGGGAAAACCCAAATAAATATATATCATAATATTACATCATTCCTCTCCTAACCAAACAAAGGCAGATGAGTGGAGGGTAAGCTGTACAATGCTCTAGGGAAGAGGAATTGTTGGCTCTTTGTGTCCCCATGGCTGTCTTCCTCTGGTCAACCTCCTCAAACATGAGAGGACCTGGGGATGGTGCCTGTCTCCAGCTCTGGAAATCTGTTTGTGCCCTTTGAGGTAAAGTGGTCCCCTGAGCTGGAAGCAGCAGGCCATTGCTTCACTAGATTCTTGTTCCGCTTGGCAGGAGTGTGCTCCCCCTTTGAGCAGCACTTACCCCCCAGGACTGTTAACTCGTTTTTAGGTCTCATGTCTTCTCTATATAAATAAGCTCTTTGTTCAAATAGGGACATCTCAGGGGCTGGGAGTTTGGCAATGGAGAACCATTATATTGGAGAAGAAGATTCCAAAGCTCCTACCTGGATAGAAATGGAATGTAAAGATTTAGCCCAGCCTGGTCCTTGGGTGATATCCATTGACTGATGGCTGGGAACCAAAGTGTAATCTCCTTTGAACTAAATGGGTGATAATGCAATAAGGCTCAACAGCTTTTATCTCATCTTTCATTGTCAGACGATAAATAGATGGATGACCTCTGCCTCTCTGAAAGCTAAGGCGATCCAAAGCTGCCACACCCCACAGTGCCACTGGATGGCGGTAAAACCTCAGGCTTCCACCCTCTGGGACTTGGTACCTCTCAAAAGCAGACATCTAAGGCTGCTTTCTTGTGAAGGGCACAAAGCAGAGCTGCAGAAATTCAGCTGCCTTGAGACAAACATGTCCCATTTAAAAATATGAGCTGTTTGCCACCCGCCACCCATCTTTGAAGAATTTGTTCTTAATCTTGACTGGCAGAGTTTCTTTGCCCTTTGTTTTATTTTTGTGAAACTCTCCAAGGTATTTCCAGTCCATTTGCATGCAATCTGGCATCTTTACAGATAATGGTCTCATATGCTGCTGTTATTAATGTCGACCAGTATTTATGTGGTGAGAATATTGGCTTTGAGTCAGGAAAAGCGTGCCAAAACAAAGAGTACAGCCCGGCCCTGGAAACACAGCAGTAAGTCCCATTTTCTCCCATGCATTCTGAGTTTCCTTCCTCTGTTTCTCCACTTTTCATTACTGCTGAGAACTGAATCATGCCCTGCTGGTCTTTTCCTTCCGTGCCCACTTCCTTCTGTTGCTATCAGGGTTTGCAGATTTGCCAATGTCTCAGCTCTACTTAAAACCTGGGATTATTTCACAATTGGAGATGACAGTTTCAGAAAAAAAGTGTTCTCAAGTGCTGGCCACCGAGCCGGGATCTGGGAGTCCGTCTCCGGCTCTTAAGTTTCTGCCTTTGGAAACCGCATGGTCTGTCCTCATGGTGGCTGTCCAGAGTTCCTTCTGTGCAGGGCAGATGCTGCTGCTTCAGATGGGTCAGCATGGCAGCTAGATTGGTGCCTGACCCTGATTTCTGCCACCTCCAGGTCTGTACAGTTTTCTCCACCCTTTGAAGTGGAACATTCCAGTGCCTACGATTGTAGAGTTTGAGGAGGTCAGAGAGATCCTTCCATTGGTGCCACTCAGCCCCCATTTTGGAGGCTGAATGGAATTAATTCAACCTGTATCAAATTTCCAGTTTTCTGCTCTTTCTATTGTCAGTCTTAGACATGTTTCCCAGGAGTCTTTGAGCAAATAATCCAATGAACTGACCACGGTCATCACAGATTTTAAGCATTCTCTCACTTTCCTTTGTTTCCCCAGGTGCTCTCCCTTGGTTTCTCCTCTGGTCATTGGCTCCCCCTCTCCTTATAAGCCATGGGAGAGGGACTGGGTAGGGACTGGGTGGGGACTGGGATTTTCTGGTTTACTACTCCTCCCTCCCTGGGAGTACTCAAGTCCTATGGATGTTCACTTCTTGGGAAAGTAGATTGTCAAGGGAGGGCTTGAAAACCATTATACAAAGAGTTCATCTTCATTTTGCCCAGTCAAAGTGATGATCCTTCAGCTTCCCCGAGTTCCATATTGAATCAAAACCCACACCCAGTACCTCTTTTTTCCTTTATGTGAAGTTACAGGGGAACACACCCCTGTGACTCCTCACTCCCTGTGTAACTAGTGACAGCAGAGGGAGTCCTTGGGAAACCCTTGCATGTAACTGTAGGGCTTGCAACAACTTTGCCTAAGGTGTTGCCCTGAGCCATGAATCTCCAGCACCAAAATCAGCAAGGATCTTTGAAGGGCAAGAAGATGGAACTACAGTGGAATTTGGTTATCACATGTATACCACCAAACTCCTTGGTCCCCATTGATTCTCACTTGGTTCTTCCTCCACATTATCAGTCTGTTGGCTTTGTTTCAACTCAATTAAAAAACCTCCAGTGCTGACTC